ATATATTTAGCTTGCTCATTATTGACATTTGATATACAAGATTTAAATTCTTATTAAGAGATATGTCCACGTTTAGCATTGGACCATATCTTGAATACAATTATCTTCAATAAGAACATAGCTTTAAGCAATTCTTTAAAAAAAAATATTTGATATATTAATTTGAAATGGAATATAGAACATTCATTGAACCAAATGATAGAGAAATTGATCAGGTACACCATGGACTAGCATCAAATGATCAGCACCGCCCTAGATCTCGTGGAGTACTGAGCATTCAATAATTAATCCACGACGCATGTTCTGGTTTCTGTTACCAGCAAATATTCACACACCTCTGACTTTTGACCCATGCCTTCACATATACCATTATATGACAATCATCCATGTTTTTTTTTTTGGTACATGTTATATTATAATCAATTTCCTTGTTCAAAAAATTTTCCCTCGCTGCTTATTACACTCGCTGTTCACAGAAAGGAGAAACCACGATCCAGCTTTGATGTACATGGAGGGATGTTAGGCACGTGAAGTGGAATTTGATCTTCGATGTTTGATTAAAAGCGAAAGATTCTCTAACATAAATCACGTCATATTGGAAGAGACAAGCTTGTAGGGTTGGATATGCCATATCTGCCTTTTTTATTGCTATTTTCATCCGAATTCATCCCGCTCCCAGAAAATCACAACATTATTTAAGATCCAGTTAATTAATTAATTACAGCTATTTATGATTAAATCCTAATGACACCAGATCAATCTAATTAACATTTGATTATATTTGTGTTTGCAATTTGGTATTAAATATTGTATGCATGTACTAGTGTGTATATAGAGCTCTGCAGAAAGCGTATGGTGGAAGCAAGCAGAGAATATACTAAAACCGCGTAAAGTGCATGTGCTTTCATGTCGTCCTCCATAAAAAGCCAGCCTTCAGATCTGCCACGTATGCTACCACCTCGCCCCGATGCATCCACGTGTAATTCCAACACCTCCCTCTGGTTTTGTTTTCTCTTTGCCCATTCCAAAATTTACTGGCACCGAAATAGCTAGGAAATAAAAATGGCAATCATAAAAGGTCCTTTTCCATTCAAATTCACTGTATATCTTGCTTTGCAAACAACTTAGAAACTTGTGACATGATACAATTTTTTTAAAAAAAAACCCTCAAATCTCGCGCTTTAATTTCTTTCTCTAATCTAATCCAATGGAGTCATTCTTTTCTCTCAACGAAAGTTAAAAGGACGGAGGAGTCCCAACGGCAAGAACAAAGGGAGACTGTCGACCGATGAAGCTGTCGGGTGACGTGGGGATGACGTCGCCAAAAGGAACAAAAGTCGGGCATGGATGGCACGTGCGGAAGCTTGAAGCGGACGAGTCGGCTGGTGGCTGACTAGGCATTCGTGGTTCGCTAAACTCATTGCCAAGTCCCGACCCAAACAAGGCCGTCCCAATTAACTCCCTTTGTTGTTTACTGGTCCCGAAACCCAGACGTGTCTTACTCGTTGAATTACAATTACCTAAATGCCCTGCGTTTTCATTTTCAAATGCTTAATTCAAATTACCCCAATGAGAGTTGCAAACTGTGTCAACTATGAATATAATGAGAGTGGAGAAAAAATAGATGGATCATATATGGCAAAGCCTCAACATTTGAATTCAATTCTTGCGCGTGCTTTCAGTTTCACACTCTTACCTTGCCATATGTATATATTATAATTCCCGTTCATTTATTAATAATTAGATTTTTGTTTGGCTAGTTGTGTTCATGATTCATATATGGAATTTGGCGACGTGTTGAACATGGAGGATATTGATGTTTGCTTCCATCGTTGGCTTTTCTCCATGGTCATCATATATATATATATATAGTGTCACTTACCAGCTTACAGTAATTAATTTGCCATGTTGGGTTTAATCACAATTTTTGCTTGTTTAGCCATTTTACCGGGGAAATCCACCTTTTCTTTTCTTTTTTTTTTCTTTTTAATTCAATCAAGCCTGTGCCTTCACATTTTATCGTCACTATATTGTCAAAGGCTTTTGTTAATCAAAGTCACAACGTGCAACTGATTCAATCTTCAATCTTTTTTTTTTAATGTTTGATTTAGAAGTAACGGATATATATATATGTATGTATATATATATATATATATATGAAAGAGAATAAAAGGATCATATCGACTTCCGCATGTCAATATCAATTTATACAATGAAATCCATAACAAATTATATTATTTGAAATTATATAAATTAAGGCTAAACATAACTTTTGGTCTTTGCTTTTGGTCTCCTATATTTTTTTTAATGTTTTAGATTCTTACATTTTTATTTTTTATTATTTTGGGTTCTTTTAGAGTCTTTATACTTTACTCATAAAAGGATGGAAAACAATAAAAAACAAAAATATAGAAACCCTAAAACACCGAAAAAAATTATAAGGACCAAAAGCAAAATACGAGTAAAGTTTAGAAATAAAAAGTTATGTTTACCTATAAATTAGCCAATTTATGAGGAGCTGCAATTTTAAAAATAAGGTAAAAACCCACTTGTTTAGATGATGATGATTAAAAACTGTAAAAAAAAAATTTAACCAACAAGCATTGATTTTATAGAAAGTGTCTTTAGGAAAGTTATCCCTTCTTACACTTAACAATAATGCTAGAATCTAACCCAATTAAATAATTATATAAAAAAATTAAAAATTAATCTTGGAGGTGGTGAATTTTTTTTAACTGCTGTTATAAATTTTATGAAATTATGATATGATATAGTGATGATTGGGAATGAAGATTATGATATGATATTGTGAATAGTTAGGATGATTCAAAAATGTAGAAGAGGGAATCGATGAGAAAGAGCTAGGGTCCACACACGCCAAATGAAACGCAAAAGATCCAAGTGCATGCAAAAACCTTCCAGCGATATCTAGTACAATATTGGGGCTATTCCGTATTGTATTATTGATAATTAATTATTGATGATGTGATTTCTTCACTTTTTTGGCATTTTTATTCACCTCATTTCGCCTTCTTTTGTGTTGCTATCTCACAAACACTATCGTAACCTGTTCTTCCAATAGGCCCCACCTCTCACACGTTTTGATCCCATCCCTCCAAGACAACTAAGTTATATATAAAGTTTGCACAAATTTAACACAGCTGTGTTACACAAACAAAAATCTTCATGTATATGTTCAGTCGCGGACCCAAAAAGCCTGTATTGGAGGAGACAAAGGAGCAAAATATTAGCTCTTGAAATGAATGATCAATATATATATATATATATATAGGATCCCCCACAGTATATATATTGTAAATCTCCTGTTGTTCTTTGCCCAGCATTTTGAGCCGTTGATGTAAATAATTAGACAGCACTTAGCTTCTATATCTATTTGAATTTGAATGTGCCGTTGGCATATTGGTTTTCTTTCTTTTTTTTTTATAAATATTTTGCTTAAATTTGAGATAGAATTCAACATTTATATTCAAACATTATTACCTGATTTCATGGCAGAATTATTCAAATGAGAGAAAGTTGGGTTTACTATTTTTGTCTCTCCAACATATATAATATTCAATTAATTAGAAGTTTCTATTTTTTTGGGTAATTAGCATATAATGAGTTTTAAATTGTTAATTATTCGCTTTCTAATAGATAAGTATTCAAAAAAGGGGCTCCATGGATAACGTTCAAAATTATTAGTTTGATTAGATTGTCTTTTAAAAACACGGAAAATGACGATAGATATCAGTGCTAAGATTCCAGGATCATATAAACCAGATGGAAAAATTATAGCTACGTTACAAATTATAAAGACAAAACAGCCAGGTCCGCAGATTCTTCCAATAATTTAATTATCAATTCAATATGTGTTCAACTATTTAACAGTCAAATTCAAATTGTGCCATAAGCTATTAACCTTACAAGCACAAGAAGAAATTAATTTCATATCTCTATTTAACAATTATCATTTTAAAACTTGAATGAAATATTTGTTATTTAATGACTATAAATATTTCTAAAATTATATTAATATAAAATAAAAAATGACATCAAATTATACTATACTTTATCTTTTTATATCAGACCATGTAGAATCGAGAAATCATACATATTAGACTCCGAGTAATTTAGGTTAGATCGAAAAGGATCATGAGATTAACAAAATTCTTACATATATAGAGTAGTTAACACATAATCACATGTTAAAGATTCAAACTGGAGACTATTAATTAAGCTAATAGATTATCTACCAAATGTTTTTGTGCAAATGATCAAATCCACGAGGAAAAAAAAAACAAAAAAGAAATTGAAGTGGTAAAAGTTCTAAAGACTTGCCGCGTAAGAGATAATGGAAGCCAATGAAGAAGGCGGAGGCATCACGTGCACAGAGGGCGAGGGAGGGCCCTCTGTTCACACTCATCCGGTTGCCAGTCAAATCTCCGCGTCGAATTGCAGTGGACCCCACTACCTGTCCTGCTTTGCTCGTATTTAATGCGATCAGGATTCACCGCGCGCATGCTCTTAGCCACCGACATCTGTCGGTCTTCCCCTGGTGGGAAACCTCCCCCAGCCAACCTGTTAGCCAGACTCCCAACCCTACATATCAAAACTCCTTTCACACACTCTAACAAAATTCCATATATAATAATAAAATAATATTCTTAAGCTCTAAAAGCAGAATTCTTTTGATTATTAATTTTTTTATGTGAATTTATTATCATAATTTCGCTCTTACACCTGTTCCTTCAAAATTGTTGTCACCGAAATATAAATATATCTTCATAATTTTAACAAATGAAGGCGGATTCTTACCAAGTGAAATTATATTATTATTCAATCCTCAACATGGAAAATGAAATAAATTTAAAAATTTTAAAAATTAAGCGCACTTTTGGAGTTTTTGAGGGAAAAAGTCTTTTTTAAAAAAATAATAATCAGGAATATGTGCTAAGCTAGCCAGAGAGAGCTTTGAATTGATGATATATAGGAGCAGCGATGAATAAAAATCAATGGATGAGAAGAGAGGGGAAGAAGAGAGCAGCGAGAAGTGGAGGATGGCAAACTTCGTGGCATTTACCGACGAGATTCCGACGATGAGTAGTTCCGGTCTGATGAGCTTTCCTCAACCTCCTGCTTTCTCAAGTATCTCCGACATGATGATGGTGCCTCTATCAGAGAACGATTACAAGCCCAGTTACTCCTCTGCCTTCATGGACTTGCTCAATCTCCAAGATTACAGTCCTTCTCTGTTCGATTGCCTCCCTTACTCCGCCACTGACCACCACACTCTTTCGTCGCCGGCAAGCTCCAACGTCCCCGAATCTTCCGAGGTCTTGAACACCACTCCGGCCTCCCCCAATTCTTCCTCTATCTCATCTTCCTCCAATGAAACTCCCCTCGCCGATCATACGGCCATCGACCAGCCCCACACTAGTAGTGCTAAACAAGAACCTGACGATGAAGAACCCGGAGATGCAGCCAAAGGAGACGACCTCGATCAACAAAAGACCAAGAAACAGTATGATTTTCATTTCTTCTTCCTACAGTTTTTGCTTCTGAAGTTTGTGTCTTTAGTGATTGAGAGGGAACTTTACTACTCGAAAATAACAGTCAGTTACAGTTGAAGAGAAGACAGAGAGTGGCATCTGAATCAGTTTCTTCTTTCGCCGTGTATTTTGTTTTTTGAAAAAATAAACAAAAAGAGCGACAAATTAAAACACTAATTGTTGTTGTGTTCTGTGCACACAAAAATTGATCTATGTGGGATCAGGCTGAAGCCAAAAAAGAAGAACCAAAAGAAGCAAAGAGAGCCCAGATTTGCGTTCATGACAAAGAGCGAAGTCGATCAACTTGACGATGGCTATAGGTGGCGCAAGTATGGCCAAAAGGCCGTCAAAAACAGCCCCTATCCCAGGTACATATCTACGGTTCAAGTCAATTTAAATTTGCGTACGCTTTGTTTTTAATTAGCCCGCAATAATTTTGACTCGAAATTTCCTTCTAACTTTCCACATCCTCGTAACTGTCGTCCACTTATTAACGTTTCTGCTCTGTTCATTTCCTTAAAAAAGGAGCTACTATCGTTGCACCACCCCAGGTTGCGGCGTGAAGAAGCGGGTGGAGCGGTCGTCCGACGACCCGTCGATCGTGGTGACGACGTACGAGGGCCAGCACACGCACCCGAGTCCGGTGATGAGCCGGGCAAGCCTGGGGTTCGGACCCACGAGGGCTAGTGGTGGTGTGCTTGGTTCGCCAACACAGTTTGTGGTGCCACGGGCACAGCATCAGCATCAGCATCATCATCAGGAACAAGAGCATGTGCAGGCACAAGAGGATGCTTTGTTGTATAATAGCTCACCCCCACTACTTCCTTTGAGTAGTATCAGCGATCCCACGACGTCATCTTCTAGCTTCCATCATCATCGTCTTCTAGGTTTTGGACCATCGTCGACCACGACAATGGCTTCTCAAGCCAATTTGTTAAGGGACAATGGGCTGCTTCAGGACATTGTTGTGTCAATGCAGATGAGAAAGGAGGAGAAAGAAGGGAAAGAAGAATAGGTGATGCATGGAAGATTGAACTATATACATACATATGGGGTTTCCTATATATATGTAACGTTAATTTTTTTTTATGGGTCTGTGTATGATTTGTGATGTATATTGATGGATCTGACTGATCGATGACACTTCTTGCGGGGGAACTCTAGAGTTTAGAGTTTACTATTATTGTAGCATATGGGCAATGAACCTTTTGGATCGAGGTTCATGGTAACGTGACTAGTAGTTGTTGTAGCTAGCTATAGCCTTATCGGAGGATCAGGCTTCCATTTTTTAATTTTTTAATTTCTTCCATCCTCCTTTACGGGATTAACGTCTTGATGATTATTCTTCGAAACTAGCTACAATATATTAATTGCAGGCACTTTTGTATGAAACCATTCCTTGCTTCTGTGGATAATATCTTCTACTTTCTCTGTCTTGCCACACACTGTTGTCATCTCTTTGTTCCATCTGATGACTGATCACAGAGTAATAATAATCAGTTAGTGGAAAGAAAACTTTTAGGGTTAGGGTTTTCCCTGTAATAATGGTCATATCTGCTGCATTCTTTTCCCTACATCCTTTCGTGATGAAAGAAAACTCGTTTTGTTCCAAATAACTTGAGGAACAATAAAGGGATGTGGTTATATAATTGATAGTTGAGACAGTACATGGGTATGGAAGAAGATCAGAGAACATGATGAATGATGATAACTTTTTCTTAGTCTCATGATCTTGCCCTATAAGCCTCGTACAGATATGGGTTTGAGGCATTCAAGGATGATGTACTGTTTCCTGGAAAGGAAATAGCTTTTAAGAGAAGGTGTTGATGGCAAAGGATGGAGTGTTAGATATGTATACACAGGTACGTACGTACGTGTGGAGAAGAAGTAATATAATTGGTGGAAGATATTTATGGGCTTTCATCACTCCCCATTTTATTTTGGAGTCGCACAAGTATTTCTCCATTTCTTTCTTCCACTTCCCGGATCGGAAATTTTTTGTATCATGATTTCCCATGACGCACCGTATCATACTCTATCAGTTTAATCATTTATAATGGCCATGTAGTGTGAGTGTGTGTGTGTGTGTGTGTGTGTGTGTGTGTGTGTCTAGATAGATAGACAGACACACACAGAGGGAGGGAGATGAGCATGATTCATGATTTTACGAGGAGCTTACTTATCCTCTTCAAATTCATTCATCACTTTTTTCGTTATATTTCGCTTTAGATTTATTAGATATAATTACTTTCATGTCGGTGGAAGGTTTCAGAGCAGAGTTTAATTAATTTATTAGATGTTATGATCAAAATTGTATTAAAATTTAAAACAATTAATAATTAAATCTATATTAATAAGTTACATTATTTACATGTTATGATTTTTGTAACTCATTAATTATCAAAAGGTTATGTCATGTGCAAAAAAGAAATGCGAATAGTTTTATTATATATGTCGATGTCTTCAGATGTTTATATTTCTTCTTAGTTGTTAGGAAAGGTGTCATCACCGAATTTTCCGGTTGAAATGGGAGAGGAAGTTATGGTCATTCGATCAGTTATATACGGCTACTTAATATAAACTATTAATTAAAGACAATCAGATTGAGTTTTTTTACAAAAAAAAATTGCAAATTATCTGAATGAAGAAGCCTTCATGATCAGAATATTGAATCAGGTCGAAATTCAATCAAGGAAAAAAAAAGGAATATTTTTTTTGAAGTATCAAGTTAACTTGATGAAAGGAATTTGATCCCCACTGATCAATATCATCCCAGAATCACACTCTTTAATTTGTCTCGAAAATAAATATAATTAAAAACAACAAATTTTTCAAGAAATCTATGAGACGATCTGTGTTCAAATAAAAATAAATAAATTAACGTCCTAGCTGTGTATAATTTAGTAGCTAGTGAGAACATTCAAAACTTGTAGAACATGCATAAAAGCATGTGTTTAGGACAAATATATAGTATGATTTTTCATTAAAAAAAAGTTGCAATAATGATATTTAAGCATCTAATAAATGAATGAATGAAATGAATGTTGCATGAGATTTAAAAATATAAAAATTGTGGAACACAAAAAAGTAAAATGTTGTATAAAGACGAGCTGTAACTGAGGAGGAAAAAGATGTTGGGTTTGAAAATTGTGAACAAAGAAGATAAGATTTTGTGGAAAGTTAATGTAAACTTGTCTCTCTTTCTTGCCCCTTAATCATACTTAAAAGTTTCCCTTCACAACGGATCTGATCTCATATATATCTTAAAGCAAGGCACTCAAACACTACTTTCTCATAAAGTAATTTGGTGAAAATTAAATCCAAAACTCAATAATAATATCACCTCTCTCTTTGCTTCATAATTGGCATGCAAACCTAAATCCCACCATTGACTGTGTATAAGATTTAATTAATCTTTTTCCTCTTGCACTATTATCTTTTTTTTATTTGTATTTCTCACTAAATATAAATATGCAATTTTTTTTATTTGAATTTTGTAAGTGTCCAAATCGTCTCATGCTACACTATAGCTAGCTGTGGAAATTTCATCAATGCTTGAAAATTCATACTTAAATGACATTTTTATACAAATACAGTTCAATCATTTCTCTGCAGCCATATGAACCATTGAATTTATGTGTAGGGTACAACGAAAAGTAGAGTTGTGATTTGGTGTTATAATCTTGTGCCTAAATTTTTTTGCAATTGTTGGATAAAATCAATTATCTTTATAGTGCCATGTGGGACACTGATCACTGGGTGAAAGGATTTCGGACAATTCATCAAATCCGGATCTTTTTTTTTTTTTGATAATGACAAATCTAGATCATATGCGATTTCTAGTTAGATATGTATAAAGGGGGCAAATGAACATAAAAAATAAAAAAATAAAAAGAGAAAATTCCCAGGACATGAAATTCGATTTGATGAAGCTTTACACAATTTTGTTCCACCACGTTAGCTAGCTAATAAGCTAGCTGCAGGTGAATATTCTCTGCTTGAAGTGATGAAGAAATTAAAGTTTGAATTGGTTCTGATTAAATCTACGATTTTTCTTTCTGGTCTTGTCAGACTTCCAGCCTTTGAACTTTATAAAATATATGTTAACATTTTGAATTGGAAAATAAGACGGTATCAATAATTATTATCAATATCCTCATAAACAAGTGGGGGTGTGTGTGTGTATTATATTGCTGTATTATCTAACTGTACAAGTAGAAAATGTATAAGATGCTTCGAAAAGAAAGCCAATCAAAGAGAAATTGAAAGAGATAGGTTTAATCACTTTGCAGAGAACCCACAAATGATTCTTCGGAAGCATCTGAATCCTAATTGCGTGCAGCAAATAATATTCATTTTTCATGATTCAATATGAGCAATGTGATATATATTAATTTAATTTTTGATGAAAAAAATGATTATTTATATCCCACCGATCCAAAATATAAGCCGTTTTATTTCAACTAATTTTGATTCAAAAAATATAAAAAACTTGATATTTGTATAATTTTTTTGTTGTACTTATTATATTCACTGTGAATTCATGATTTTTTTTCACTTATTATAAATTGAAATTAAAGATAAAAAACAATATATATAAATATATATCTTTAAAAAAAGATTTTATTAATGTGCGAATTGTTGTTAAAAGTTGTTAGCAGAGGAGGGAGTATACTTTACACCAAATGTTTGCGATTGAATGTATTCAGTCAAATTAACCTTATCTTTCTCATTTAATGTCAGGCCATTGAGATCATTTTTCAATTTAGTAGTGTTATATAGATAGATAGATAGATATTTTCTTTATTCTTTTCTTACCTTGCAAGTTCAAGATTACATCTGACAAGATCAATCATGCATGTGTTATAAATGTGCCAGATTTTAGATTCAAAGACGAGAACCTCTTGATGGATAAACTCTCCAATATTATATTCTACTATTTCAAAAAAAAAAAAATCATGAATTAGTTATATGCAAAATGTAATATAAAATATTTTATGTTAAAATTTGAACACATTAACCAAAAAACCCCATTGTAATCATTTTACCAAAGAATTCCGATTTCACTAATTTTGGTGGCAGAATTAGTTCCTTAAAAAAGAATTGTGTCATCCTTAATTCATCTTAAACATTGTATTATCATAAAATAAATGAGTACTGTATCATTACTAATTTTACTTTGAAACCGATTCTTGGTTAAATTTAAAAGAATTAAATTAACCATGATTTAAAATTAAGTAATTTTTTTATTAAAACGTAGATTAATTTATGTGACATACACACAATTTTTTGTATATAATGCTATATATCACTAAGTTGCAATTTGAGTCCAACAATGCATCAAATTTAGTTTTGAATGTATAATCATTTTATCTTCATAGAATACTCACGAAGTCATCATCACCTTTTGTCTCTCAAACTGTCCACTTCCATAACCTGATTAATATAAACAAAATCGTTACAGGTATACATATTTCTCTAAGTAGGTTCATTGTTAAGACAACCTATAACAATATATAAACTCAATTCACTTGCAAAATATCAAAAATAAAATGATTATTTGATTTTTATTATTTAAAATAAAGTTTATTAATTAGTATAATTATTAATAATATTAATTTGCAAATCAAAGTATAACATGCTCTAATAACTAGATGGCAAAGGAAGAAAAAGGATAGGCATGCAAGTAGAATTCATTTAAAAATGATGATTGCTACATTGATACTCCATTACATTTAAGTGTGTTGGGATTAAAATTATATAAAATCGATTAACAATAAAATTGATTTATATGACAGGTTTTAAAATAATTAATTATATTTTGTGATATAATTAATTTATAATAATATCATGATTTTATAAAATTCCATCCAACCCCCCCCCCCCGGGGGCAACTACAACATATAACTCCATTCATAGATCATAGTGGTTACCAGTTATGCAGGACAGTCAGGGACTCGCACGCACGCACGCACGCACGCAATGATTGCTTCGTCATTGTGAACAATGATTTGTTCGCAAATTTCCACAAAACTCATCAACTTAGTGGTTTGAAGTAATTAGGCCAGTTGAGTGAAATATCTGATTTCCACTTTTTTTTTTTAATGCCTTGTAGAACATACAACAGTTAGGATTTTGGCATTTTCGCCTTCTGGAACACATTATGTTAAGACGCTTCAAGTTTCTAAAATTTGCCTCCAACACGTCAAGTTGGCGAAGCTCACATAACTTGACAGTCAGAGCTATACGAAAAAATATATTGAATTGCTCCATTGATTGATATGCCTTATATAATGAGCTGCTCAATATTGGCTAGGTTACGATTATAGCAACTACGTTACACAAGACTATGGTAATTGGTGGGGCACTTCATTTGCCTTATCTAATGAGTAATATGGCCCCCTCCACTATACTGCTCAGCCAGCAAGTGAAACTGAAGTGAAACCTAAATACTCATGACTGTACATTAACTGTCACCCCATGTTTACTTGGGTGGTCAGAACTCAGAACCAAGGTCACTAAACCCTAACTTTGTGCTTTCAGCTCAAGGGCCTCTTATTATTTTAGAAAGCCAATGTCCCTTACCCTATTTGCCGCCGCCGCCGCTTCAGGCTCACGCCCATCCGTGTTCAATAATTTCCTGGATGTACAAACAAGATGCCAGAAATGTCAGCACTGAACTTATAGGAAAAGACAAGGTCATTCACAATTCACAAGCCTCTTTCATTTCCCCTCCCAATCAAAACAATAATAATCATAACATGAGACTGTTTCTAAAATAGAAAGGGGAGAGGAAGACATTCTGTCCATTATATAGTCATCTTGTTATTGAGTCAAGTCAGAAGACTAGAACCTGCTGGCTTATTCAACGTCCACCCTTGTGAACCATGAAACCCCTGTAACAGAATCAGGGAAATAAAATTAGACTGCAAGGAGAATTTACATTAATCAATGACTGAAATGTTAATTTCGTACATGTGGGACGTGCGCAGGAGGATCACCAACAGATACACTTGATGTCTGTGATTGGATATATCCAACTTCCTGAAAAGCCGAGCAATTTGCACGTATTTATATAAGAAAATATCACTAGAGATAAACATCCTACCGTGTAACCAAACAGCACATACAACAAATGGAACCACTCAATATTGAATAGTATAGGAGACAACAGAGACTACAAGCATGAATCCATATCTCTAGTCACATAGGGCGCAAACTCCCACAACAAGATGGGAGCAAGAACTGCCCAATTACCGTACCATACAAAGGTATGAGCAACTCTAAGAATTTCTCCGCAATTTCTGCCAAAACACATGTAGCCCTAGCCAACCTAAAATACACCGAGCAGAATTAAATTTTACTTAGAATTGTTTTTATTTGGTACAAAACGATAGGATATTCCACACAATCTACAAATATCCATCTATGAGAGCACATTCTATAAAATGCATTGCAGGACTGAACAGCAAAGAGACTGATAGAGGTAGAAGGGAAATAGAGAGAGAGGAATAGTATTTTCATTCACAAGACACCATTACATCCACAAGACTCTATTTACAGAGAACATAACTAAATGCCCAAACTACCCTTTTATCCCCAATTCCCCTAATTCCCATGTATCAGAGACAATATCATTGTCCTTAAGAAAATGCTTTCTTTGAACGCCATGCAGAGGCTAAAATGTTTCCTGAACGTTTTGATGACTCGAAACTCCATATGCCTGATACTAGAAGTCCGAAAACAAAGTCAACATAACAAATCTTCTTTCAACACCACGATGAAAGAATTCAGACACTTACAGAAGATACAGAAGGCTGCTGCATCTGTTGCTGGACCTGGTCGAGAATCTGCACCTGACCTTGCGGCAGCACCTGTTGCGATTGGGGAACTGGCAGGGCAGATAACGCTGGTGGTTGTAACTGAGATTGAGACTGGTGAAAAGTTGGCATTTGCTGTTGTTTTTGCCTTTCAGATAATGTCAACTCCTCTGGTTTCTCCCACTATAAGTTCATTTAATGAAAGATAAATAACATGAATAGCATGAAAAAAGAAACCTGAAGGCAACTAAAAAATTCTTACCCGACTTTCATGAGTGACACTATTATAATAATACTTGAAGCCCTCAGGAGATATATGCTCTGTCCAATTGCATTTTGAAAGAGCCACGTTCTGGTTTATTGTAGGTGTAGCAGAAGCATATGCGGAAGAAGGAAGATCTGTGGCTGCTGCTGCAGCAGCAGCGGGATTACTGGCCACTGACTGTGGTACAATCATAGGCGATTGAGACTGCATGACAAGAATGCACCAGCACACAATGTTGGTATGAAAAAGTTCTAAAGGTATGGATAACCTCCCCGGTGCACACAGCTAACGGTACATCTAATGTCGAAACACCATTAGCAAGCAGAAATTTCATGAACTGTAAAAGATATGCACGCACCATTCTTTTATTGGACAACTTAAAAGCAAATACTTAAAAGATTGCACTTTAGTCTTATCGTTTTTCTTTCTCATCCAAATTTTAGTGCCTTCACATGGGTGATTACTGTTTTAGTGCTTCCCACCTCAAGAACTCAAGTGCCTTCGAAATGCGTTTATCCTTTGACTAAATTATGCAATTAATGGAAAAATCACAAATATAAAAATTTTGTTGCAGAACTCCAGAACCTTAATTAAATTTGTATGAATTCATTCAGCAAAACATGCAAGAATATGAAACTTATTCATTAATCATGATCTTAGGAGATGATGACCTAAACTACCTGCTTTTTAGCAGCTTCTGCATTTTGCTGCAATGCTAATTCTTGACAAGATGGCTGCATCATTTGCACTTGTTGAATCTGGGAAAAGGCATGATGAGACGAATGAAAGCTTGCTTGCAAAGTCTGAGTTTGTTGTGACCACATCTGAGCCAACTGAGATGGGGACTGCTGAAGAGGCTGAAGTGGCTGCTGCTGCAACAAGGTTGGCTGAAGCGGTTGCTGCTGCTGCAACAAGGTTGGCTGAAGTGGTTGCTGCTGCTGCAACAAGGTAGGCTTAAGTGGCGGCTGCTGCTGCTGCTGCAACAAGGCAGGAAGTCGCTGTTGGTTTGCAGTATTTACAGCTGTATTAGATTGCAATCTAACATCGAGAGGGCTCCGAGGCATTGCAGCAGATGAAAGATTCTGTTGAGTTTGATGCTGGGACGCTGGTAACTGTCCATTCATGCCAGGCACCTGCAGAATAGGAAGCGGCCCCCTAGACAAAAAAGGTTGCGGCTGACCAACCTGCCTAACTGATGAAAGAGACATTGATGTCTGTAAGCTGGGCATTGGAGCTTGATGGTACAAATGGAGGGAACAAGGCAGTTCCTGAGACAAATGCACAGGTATCTGTGAAGATAACATTTGTTGGCTAACAGGAGGAAGTTGTGAAATTTCTGGGTTCAAATTCTGAAAGCAATAATAATAATCACGTTACTAATACGTTTCTTGCAGGGAAGGAAGGAACGAAGTCAAATAATCTTCATCTACCTGTTGTGACATTGATGACAAAGAGTTCCCTTGAAAAGGACCATCCATGGGGGCTCCAAAGCCACTAGCAGGAACACCCTACATTATTTAAGCACTGTAAGCAATAGATGTGACTGATAAATACTTAGTTAAATAAATAAATAACCAGTGAGTAATGACTGAATGGATGTGTTTGCAATAGCGTGTGTATGCCTGCAGATAGAATTAGCGATTTAACTTCCATCATTATTCTTATCAAATTAGTTTAAAACAATGGTACTGTTTATGCTCATACCGTCAGATTAGCTAAGCTGGCTGATGGTCTGCTAATAATAAGCATCAAGAAGTAAATGCAAAATTTAAGGGAAGATGACCATTGGACATACCCCATTTTCAAGGGAAAGTAAAGAACACATCATTTATGGTCATAGTAGCTTTTAAAGACAAAGATAACCATAAGCATTACATTTAAGATAAAACTTTGCCATATCATCAAGTTCATACTTACTGGATTCATAGGCATTGCAGGGCCACTAGATCTTGGGAGCAGAGGAGGCCTTACACCATAAGGACCAATGTTAGAGGACGATCCCATATTCAGTGGATGCATTGGACGCCAAGCATCAAACGGAGGGATACGATCAACCTTAGGTTCATTAACATATGATGGAGGACTGCAAAAATTGACAACAGAACAATACATTGCACTAAATGCCAGCACGAGGGGATGGTGATAAGGGAATCAATCAGAAGACACCAAGTAAATAAAACAATAGAAGGGAAAGTAGGATACCCTGGGTCTGGTGCTTCAAATCTAGGACCAAGTCCTGGACGGGGAAAAGCAGGACCCCTAAAGCAAGCCAAACAACAATTTATGAAACCAAAAATAGAGATCAAGAAATAGCATGCATTCAAAACATATATAGGACACAACAAAAGGTACACATGAGTGCAGAATCTGGTGCAAGCAAACCTTAAAAGCATGGACACTGACACCAAAACAAGACAACATTATAGATAACACAACCAAACAAATTATATAATGTCCTTCTGCAATTTAAAATACCTTGTTGTATTAAATATTATAAATCTCCAGTTTTAAGGTGTCTGTGCCTTGTAGCAGCAGAATGACTGATATTTATTGCACATAATGGCCAGAGCACAAGCAAAGTAAGACTGAAAAACTCACCTTGAGCACAAAGGAAGAAAAATTTAAAAACATGTTTTTAAGGGGAAAAAAAGGACTTGTTAAGGCAGTAAAAGGTCACAGTCAACAAGACAAACATCAAAGAATTTAAGCTGAACTCAATTATCTGGAAACAATTTGACTGAGATCAATGAGAATTTAATCTATTATTACATCCCGTTTAACTTTGCATGACCAATGAGACTTGTTCTGACTTATCTCTATTTCATACCCTACATCAATTTGGGTTGGGCTTGCTTAACCCCTGGATCAGCTAGCCCACAAACCAACCATAATATACTGTGTTCATACTGTCATTAAGATTTAATAAAAAAATTAAAAAAAAAAAAAGACTTGAGCATGACTTCATATTAATATAATGGGCAAGAGACAACAAAGTCAAATCTGAACGGTCCACATTGGGTTGAATCTAATAGCATTCACGTGAATTTTGTTCTTAAGGATAATCTTTAGATATCATACCTTGAGTCTCCTTGCCGAGGTCTCTTTGGATCGGCAAACCGGACAGTTAATGGTTGATCACAACCCTGTCAAGAAAAATAGATGATAAGCATAATGTTTCAACAAGGATAATTTTGCAACAATAAAAATAAAACCTTTCTTACTTTCATTGTATAAATTCCGTTAAGAGCATTTATAGCTGCCAGTGCCATATCCCTATGAGAGTATTTAACAAAACAGCGTCCTTCAATCAAGAGGGAAAAATTAAAATTATATATTACCGTTCAGTATTTCATCTAAGCAAACACACAGGAAAATCCAAAACTATCAAAGGGGACAAAAAGAACAACTACACCAACCAGTAAGCCATGATTTACGGGCACGACACCCATCCCAACCCAAAATGAGGGAAAAAAAAAAAAGATATAGCAGACATCTGGATAGTGCTAGGGAACAAACCACGGCTTTGCTTCTTCTCATCACGCAGGAGACACACATCTTCCACCTGGCCATATTTTGAGAAAATCTGATACAGTAGACATCATCTATTAGTTTCATGCTCTCAAACTATCAGCAACAGTAAGCACAAAATTATTTTGGAAAGACATTAAACATGCATTCTTAACATTTAATATCATGAAGGCCCATCAATTCCCTTGGGCAAAATTGCCAAAGTTTCCATTTGGCTAGACAAGACAAATAACTGCCCCACTAAAAATACTTGCATTGCAAAGCATATTTGGTGCGTGCAACATACTTCCTCAACTTCCTCTACTGTAGCCTGTTTGTTCAAAGAGCCCACAAATAATTTGTACTCAGTTGCACCTGTTGTATGGGAAAGTTTACAGCAAAACGGAACAGTCAATACAAGGAGAAGACTCACATTAAAAGTACTTTTCGATAAATGCATCACTGCCCACATGTTTTATTAAGGTCATATAGTTGTTCCAACTTTGAACTGATAAGTCAATTTTACTAGAGCTGCAAAACTCTTTGGCAGAAATAGTTTGTCTACTACAATTGACATCAGATTATATGCACACAAGTAAACTCAAAAACAGACAATTCCAAGTATCTGTACTCTACAGTTCAATAAAAAATGATAGACAGGTTGATAAAGAATGACAACAACATGCTTTTATGCTCTTTCACAGAATTCTAGCCAAAGATTTTTCCAAAATTCCATAAGATTCCTCATGCCCAACTCCCCTGTTAGATAATTCAATTTTGTATAAAAAACACAAGTTACAAAACAAAACAGCATATAGCCATTTGATAATGCATATAGCATACACAAAATAGTAAGAATTTCAAAATATAAGACACCAATTAGTACGAAAATTTACCAAGACGTTCCTGTTCAGCATCAGCATATCTCACTTGGATTGGACATACACCCTAAAAGGTAATCAAGTTTTAAAAAAACTAAAGAAGAAAAAGAAGAAGAAGGAGAATTTACAAGTAGCATTTAGGATCAAAAGCAAAACAGCTCACTCCAGGAAGAGTATGTTGTTTGTGCAAGGCTCTAATTGCCTGATCAGCTTCTTCTGAAGTAGCATACTTAATGAAGCAATAACCTGCACAAGCAAGAAGTTATATGTTGATTCCATCAATTTTCCATTACCCTTCCCACAGTTAGATGTCAATATTAATGAGCCATAAAGTTATTCTTCTCAAGGTTATCATTAGATCATTCATGGGAACCCTAAAGAGTGATTTGATCTTAATTGACACCATCACTTTGCAAAGACACACCAAATTACACTATATACATTACCTTCAATTCCATGAAAGATAAAGACCAGATCCCTAATCTAATTTGACTGAAACTAAATAAGCTTGTAACAAATTTGTGTATTTGATCACAACCATTAATCCAACTTTAACATCAAATAAACATAAGTAGCATGCACTGCTGATACACGTCATGGAGACCCAACTAACCATAATGAGTTGTTAGACACTTCAAAACCTCGCATCAAATTTTGTATTCCAACTAAGTAGGCATAAAGTAAAAGGGGCGATCAAAATGTCAACATATCCAAACCTAACTCCATAACCACCACAAATTTCTTGCATATCAGATCTCCAACAGCAAGGAAAGAATCGTACATAGGAAATTGGGAAAAAATTGAAATTCATAGAATATACGGCACTGAGACTTATTTAAGGGAGACAACCGACTAGAACAGCTGAACAATTAAAAAATAAAACCAACATAAACTTCAAGTCAAGCTTAGCATCACAAGCTGCAAAAAAGTTAATAGTGCAAAACAGCACCTTCAAACCCTCAAAACTTTTCATATCAATCATCCCTGATCCCACAAACAATATTGACTAGCTAGCAGCAGATTCAACCAAATACTGATAAAATTACAGCCAGAACCCCAAATCAAGAATAAATTATAAATTATCCCAAACCATACAACATATGATTTCACATGAATAATCAGGCTGCTATATAGAAGTTGAGACGGGCTCCACTTCTAATGTATCTCCATGTGCAATCACAGACCTATGATCACAAAGGAACTGAACAATTGCTCCAAAGTGGAAAGTAGAAACATTCCATACAACATAGAAATGGAATGTTAAATCCATTATAAGAACAAAAACTTTGGATTGTAACAAGAAGTTAATACCCATAGACGAACATCTAACACATGACCAAAAGGTCTGCCATTCATGAAGTAGGAAATGAATCATAACTTGTAAGTTGCCAACAAACACATAGCAAGCTAACATCAATTACCATCCATATTCAGTCAACCCAACTTCTTACCCATGTAATTTTAAAACTGAAACTGATAGGAACACTCATGTTTGCTACAATATGGGAACGTGAAATCTCCCAAATTACATTGTGATTAATACCATTCAAATGCAATAACCCAAGTTTTTCTCTGTTCCTTCTATAAGGTGAATTTTATATTTTTTACATAAACAAGCTACAGTCAAGGCTACGGGCACTCTCGTTACAATCAGTTGTTGGGTAATGACCCCACTGCTGCATCCACAATTGCAAGAGCAGGATCTATTGGTCCTCCAATGTCTCATCTGCTATAGAAAGAGAGGTTCACATGTCTTGCCTCCTTCTGCTATGACAGGATGAGGACAAAAAAGGTAGGCTACCAAAACCAACAAGTCTGGACTTGTTGCAAAAGTAAACTGAGATGAAGATGAGCTTAGTCTCTTCCATCAGCCTCTCAATGGACCTGAAATAAGATTCATATGAAGTGCAATAGTCTTGGAATATAAAGATCACAGATACCTTGTTGTTGCCCAGCTTTTCTATCTTTAATCAAAGCAACCTCAAGCACATTTCCATGTTCCTCAAACAAAGGGCGAATCTGACATCAAATAATTGTAACAAGTTATGGTGCATCACAAACACATGATTAAACATTTAACAAGAGAACCAATGATGATAATATGTTAAACAATAACTATCAGATAACCCAAAGTCAATGACTCAAAGTGCTAGGAAAACCATTGAAAACTTGAAAAGATTTATGCTGGATGGGATGTGTGCATTTAGAAGTATCACAGTAAATTTAACTTTTACCAGACATTAGTTGAAAAGTAAGTAATAATACTGTGCACTTTTTATCATAGATGAATAACTTGACTACAAACCAATGCCCATGCAATTTCTTTTCCTCCCCGCAGAACACCCCACCCAAAAAGACTTAGAGGAGCTTGAATACTAAAAAGTTGCAATATTTCAAAAATATATAGCCCTTTCGTGATAACAAATGTGAAATTATTTTACAAAAAGAACTTCAGCAAACTCGGCAAGCAAATGAGGGAACAAAACAAGGGTTAGATGTGGCTTACATCTTCTTCAGTAGCAGTCCGGGGTACAGATCCAACATAAAGTTTTGCAAAACTTCTACCATCAAAACGATCTAAAAAGATAAAATACATCAAACACTGATTCTCTTCCACTTCCTCACATGTTGGAGGTCATATAATTAAAATAACTTAAAGGAGGGGGAAATGACTGAGTTTGCAACTAAGGGTGAAATAAAACAGAGCCACTTGGGCATGCGTGCGTATCCATGGTTCATTTGTTTCACATTTATAACAAGCATTTGTAAAAAGAATAATATATCTTTTTTTTTATCGTGAGATGGAGAGATGATGTCAAAGTGGTCTAACAACTATGAAATCAAACTTTTTTTGGGTTTACATGGTATGAAATAAAAACATAGAAGTTAGGATCACATGCTTGAAATATGTGACTAATATGAGAGATAAGCGCATCAAACAACTGTATACTTTGTAAATTAGAACGATCCTAGTATCACACAAATGAGAACATCTGAAAATTCCTTCCAGACCAAGGGGGAAACATGCTAATGGGCTATCAAGATGTCAATCATAAAATGCTGGATTATAATATATATATATATATATAAAGTCAGCTATAAAGCTAAAGGGTCACATAATACTTGTATGACAACTTCACAATAGTAAATAAGCACTCTGATAAAAATAAGAAATATAAAAATAAGCAGAAATAATTATTTTTAAAACTTATATGTACAAAAATAGACCCTTCCAACAATAAAGCCCCTCTTACATATTTAAACATAAAATTATCTTCCACAATAAAGGGATTCAGAAGATCAACTAATTCAGTATGCTTCCATCACATTTTTAATAATATTATCATTGTGCACATAGTAATACGAATTGCCAATGTAACTGATTCCTTTGACAATAAATCTTTAAGTTTTCCATATATTGCCAGGGGCATCTAAAACTGTCGCTACAGATGACTCAGCGATTAAATTATCACTATCAACTTGCACCCCAAAGATTTGCCCCCCTCCCCACTGAAGTAATACAGAGCATGGTAAACGTTTAAGTGAACATCCCCCCCCCCCAAAAAAAAACAAAAAAAAAAAAGAGCTTAAGTTTTTACAGAACAATAAACAGGACAGGAATTACTAGTTCCCCTGCCAGAGGTACAAACATAAAATTCAAAAGATACACTTGTTATCCGTGGTCCCCCAGTTTAATGACATGCAAAACCGTGATCTAGAGCAAACTTAAGCTCAAGAGACCAGAAAAGCACTTGACTTCTACAGAGAAACGCTTGCAAGTAACTACCAGTAAGTACCTTTTTTTTTTTTCTGAGAATTACATTAAAGTCCCATACAAGAAAGTTAATTACTGCAAAATACATTGAGAATTTAACAAAACTATGTTGGCAACTAATTATATTGTTAATGTAGCTTAGTTTAGTTGTCAATAAAATTTACAGTAATTAATTTCCTTATGTGAAACTTCATTGTAATTCTCCCCTTTTTTTGGGAGTGAAAAGGGAATATCATTACTTGATGAAATGTACAAAAGGCAGCACTGGGAGATCAAAAAGGATCAGTCTGCAGAAGAAGAAAAAATCGGGGGGTTGGGAATTACAAAAGATCAAGAATTAGCTGAAGGGATCAAGAACTAATTAAGATCATTGGCATTAAAAGTAAGTTAAGCCATAGCAAAGGAGTCATTGATGAGACTGATGGCTGTATGAGTTTATTCAGAAAAGATATCAAATATAAGTAATTGATATCAATTGTTGATGCGGAAACAGAAAAGGGAAAGCGAAAAACTGCTACCATACAGCGCAGCGAATAAGAAAACTAAACAAGAAATGCCAAATTTAACAAGAAGCAAATGAGCGTTACACTAACCTGGCGACCCTCCACGCCCAGAAAAAGGAAAGCCTCGTTTCTGCCCAGAATGCGGTGGCACAGGATGACTATCAAACCCGAAACCACTAGGACCATCCAGTGGCCGGAACCTACCGCCTCTGCCAGGAGACCGACTTGGCGGACTGTCCAGAGAACGATAGTGACCTTCGGCTCCGGCAGAGCGGAGGTTAGATGGGCCACGGCTGGGGTTTCCATAGGTCAAGGGATCATCGGACAACCATGAGGGACCCCGGGAGTGACGATAGTGAGAGCTTCCAAGGCGGTCTCCTCTGTGCATATCCCGCTTGACCAAGAAAGTGCAATCAACCCAAGTCTTCGGAAGAGCAGAGAGGGAGTCAGGGAAGTAAGGACTGAAAAATTCTGAGGCAAGTGACGGAACAAGATTGAGACTGCTGACAATGTAATTTCAGGAGAAGATGACCCGGAGGACTTGTCAGGAGTTACTTTGAAATTGGACGTAACGAAAACGGAATTAGCAGTAACACGTCGTTCTCGAGTCTCGGGTGTTTTCCATGATGTCGTTTCGTGGAGTTCAACCGGACGTCATTGTCGTACACAACCGGACACTGGCCGTTTGGTTCGGGAAGACCGGAAAAGTGAAAACCCAAAATTTGGTGCCCGAAGGGAATGATACCATAGTTGAATTAATTTTCTGGCTGACCATAATTGAATTAATTGGTTGATGTCATGAATATTAAAATATTATTTAGATATTCATTAAATATTTACGTGAATTTCATCATAATTTTTTATATTTAATGGATAAAAATATCATAATTTTTTAAAAAAATTATGATATTGTTATAATTTTTACATAAATTATTCATTCCGTTAAAAAATATAAGATATTTTTAATTAAATTTTACTCGTCAATAAAATAATTAATTATCTTTAAACTAACTCTATTTTTTCATAGTTAACTTAATTAAACAGCCTAAAAAAATAAAATAATATATTCAATAGAGACATTTAAAAAAATATAATAATTACACCTTAAAAAACTTAAAATGTCTTATATTTTTTGAAATCCAACTCCTTAAAAAATGTTTTATATTTTCGAGTGGAGGGAGTATAAAAAATTCTAATTATTTTTTGACCAACTATAAAGTCTAATTATTAAAAAAATGTGGAAATAAATATATGAATAAAAATAATTTTTAGTATGTTATTACATCATTATATAATTGGATTATATAAAATTTAAATATTCAGGAAATAAATTATTATAAAATGTAATTGATTCATGTTAATTTGAACTTGAATATAGTAAAATTTAATTATCTTCTATGTTGGATTTCTATCCCATATAGTATATTTGTTAAATAAATAATCTAAACAAAAATATTAAAGATTAAGGACTTGCTTGATGTCTGTTTTTATAAAAATGTTTTATGTCTTAAAAAAGATTATTTAAATAAGTCTTTTGAATTTAAATTTTTTAAAACTACTTTTCTATTTTTAAAAATTCGTGACAATATAAACTGTTTATACAGGTTCTGGAGGACTATCAAGCTTTGCAGCATTTGTTGTTTGTTCTTCTACAGAATCCATCATGGCTGCCTTTGGAGTAAATTTCGAAAAGTAAAGTCATGGATTCTAGTTTGTACTTTGAGGGTTTTCACCTTCGTACTGTCATTATGTCGTGTGAATGGGAACAATGTGGATGTTACTGTAAAATTGTTGAATGCTGAAATAATTTGGCAGCTTGTAAAATTGTAAATCTTTTTTATAGTAATGAACTAATATTTTTAGTTGAATGTTTGGACTGTAGGTAAAACTTCAGTTTACTTGTAGTATGATTGTATTGTTAAAGTTTCGCTTGCAGTTTGTTTATATTTCTTAATTTTAGTGACAATTGAAATTAAATTCAGAGAAATCTTTATTTTTGTCGTGGATCATAAATAATACATATAGTTATTAGTTAGTTGGTGTCTAGTACCTATTTTAAAAAAAAAAATTAAGGGAGGAAAAGTAAGCAATATACTAGTGTCATGCCAAAGAACAAGAGCTATATCAAGGGTTGGGAACAAAACATGATGAAAACCAACAACACAGGACAAGGCTTGTTTAGCAAGCTTATTAGCAGCTTCATTAGCATTGTTTGAGATATTATGAACTTCCATGGACATGATGAAAACCAATAGCCCAGACAATAAGTGTGGCTGTAGCAAGTACATGCATGTATATATTGGCTGTGATGAGTTGGTCATTATACCTTGCGTCGTGGCAGGCATGCCATATGCCACGATAAGTATGTAGGTTTATAGTTGGTCATGGTGAAGATATTCTCAACCGCAATAAATTGGTACAAATTCTTAAAATGAGTGTTCTATCTCTAGCAATCTATTCTCAATGCTAGGCAATGTGTTCCATATTTTCACATGATTTTAAATACTTTGATTTTTTAAAAATTATTTTTATCTTTTCAAATATTTTTAGGATCTCAATATTGAGGTTGACCTTTTTTTATGTCATTAAACTTCAAAATCATGGTGACCCTTAAGGTTAAGGGTTGTTAATTTGTAGAGTTAACTGGAGTTAATGATGAAGGTCATTACATCAATTACATGATTAATTGCATTGCATGCATAATAACATTTTAGAACTAGTTACTTAGACTTTTAAGTCTTATTTTTTATGGTTAACATTTTTATAAGAGAGAGTTCAGCCGGATGATCACTGGCTTAGTTGGTGCATGAGACACCATTATATTTGCCTAGACGAGATTTATTTAAGTGGTCCAAAACCTAGTAATGGCTCTAGTTTGCGATTTGTAAGGGGATTTGTTTGGAAATGTGGTTTTGTGACCCAATATGGGTTTATATGGATAAATTTGTCATATGGATGTATTTTTATGTCAAACTAAAACCATTAATTAGATTATATTATAAGCTTCATAAAGATAATAGAATCACCCAATTTGGACGTATGTGAGATAAATTATGCTTTTTTAAAGATTAAACTTTATGTTCATTATAATATAGGCAAACTGAGTTGGTTGTGGAAAATGCGTCACTTTTCCAAATTTATCCTAGTTTAAATTTTTAGTTGCAAAACAACCCTTTGTACCCTTATACCCATATTTAATGATGTTTCAAGACCATTTTACCCATGATAACCATCTTTCAATATATTTTGTGATTTGAGGAGATTTTTGGGTTGTATTATTGTAAGCTATTGTATTATTTCAAGATCTCGTTTTAACATGCTTTTGTTAATTAGAAAACTTTTAAATTACTATGGTGGGCTTTATTTACTAAGTTAAATTTTTCTTGCCATGATAGTCAATTTGAACTTGATTTCAATAATTAAGAAAAATTATTTCCTACTATGGAAATAGTTTATAAACTTAGTTTTATTCTTTTTACTATAGTAGATTTTTAAAAAGAAATATTGTTATTTTTTATTACCATGGCAGATCTTTCTCTACCATGATAGGGTTTCGATTAATTGATTTAATTCTTAATTATCACGGTGAACATTTTTCTATTATGATAGAATTAATAATAAGGATTTGGAAAAGTAAAGCCTTACACCAAGCCATTTCAAGGCCTTACATGCAAGCCCACAGTTCATAATTCAACAAATCCCCACCATTTTATACTATACATGAAGCCGGCTTTGAAATCACCATCCAAATCTCAAAAAAGGCCTCCACATCCTATGATGTTTTTGGCCTTAAAGAAAGCATCATCCACGTTAAGCTAGTCAATTGTCAGTCTGTGAAGTTTAGCTGCCATTATGAATGAGGCATTCTTTTCACCTTGATAAGAGGATATTTTATGCATATTTAGATATTATTTATATTCTTATATTGATTATTTAAAGTGTGAATTGAAGGTAAAATAAGGTATAATACCCTATTTAGAGATTTTGATATATTTTCAAGATAAGGAGACATGATAGCATGAAAAAAGCCTTAAAACATGGAGCTTGGAGTCAAAGACAAAGGAAGCAGGCTAAAAATAACTCATCTGTGCTTAGATAAAGTGATTTTTTTTATAATTTAAAGTTTTGTCCACTTGCAGACGAAAATCCTAACCACATGCGGATGAGAGGAAAAATCACAAAAAAAAATTAATTAGATATCATCATATTTAACAAGATAAGATGTGATTTGGATTGATTATAAGCATATGGGAGTTGAATTTATTATAAAATAATATCCAAAAGCCTCTTAACACATTTAATCTCAAATCTAAAGGTTAAGAGGCACACTACAGAGTCCAAGGAAGTCTTCTAAGCTAGGAACTTTATCTCTTCTTTTATTCTTTAGAATCTGTTCATGTTTTATATTTGGGATTGTAGCTTTAACTTTATAAGTTCTTACTAAACTCCTAGTGTAGCCTCAATCAGATGAGTTTTATTATTTAGTTGGTTTTAATTATTTTTTTGGTTAAATAATAATTTTTGTCGATGAAATTTATGTTTGCTTTTATATTTATTTCTCTGATTTTAATTACTTTTTATATATATGGCTAGCATATAAATTGTTTGTGGGTGGTTTTGATGAATTAAAAGGTGAAAATTTTACCCCAAACATAGAGAGATAAACACAAATAATTAAATTATAAATAATTTAAAAGTTTGTGGTGACTTAAATTGTAGCTTCTTGGTTTAGTTAGATAATAGAATTTAGCAAAAGCTAGATTTAACTCTAATGAAAATTCAATCTAATATACTGAAAGATAATTACTGTAACATCCTGATTTTTATATAATAAAAAAATTGTAGAATTTAGGTTTTGAGGAAAAAAAAGATAATAATAGGAATTTATATTATTTGAGGTTATTTAGAAATAATATTATGGTTAGGTATTTAATTATGAATTTAAAAATTTAAATTTAAAACCACATAAGCAATATTTAGTTAAGATATAATACATAAATTTTTTTTTATGTGTGTGTTAAAAAAAAAGAGAAGGTAGAAGGAACAAAAAAAAGGGGAGGAGGAAGGTTGTTGTTTCTAAGTCCCACATTGGTTAGATGAGGGAAGAGAAGAGGTGCCTTCATGTATAAAAAGGAGGGGGTGTGTGCATTAGGAAGCATGAGAGGCTAAGATGCAATTTAGAGAAAATTGCAACTTATGGCCCAAAAGTTTGAATAATTAAATTCAGACCTATAGTTTTTTCTAATATAATTTTGGGACTCACAATCCCATTTTTATATTATTTTTCTCTCTTTCTCTCACGTTGCTCGGCGTTTTCTCGCAAGGGGGGATTATTTTCTTTTTCTTCAGGTATGTTCTAACTTTCCTGTTTAGATTAGCATTTAAAAATTTATTTAATTACAAAATTAATTTTATAGTTATTTTTTAAATAATATTAGCTTTCTAGTGATATGATTATTTTGTAGGATAGAGTAAATATTCTGATTAGGATTTTTCTATAGGATAGTTAATCTGATGATATGATGGATTTAAAAATATAGGTTAAAATTCTTAGGGATATAATAAATATTATAGAATTTTTTTTGAGGTTGAAACTCATGTTCAAGAATTTTTGAGTTAAAATCTAGATCTATATGGTTGAATTTATGTGGAATCTGAGATGTAGGGATAAA